TTCATATGACAGCTTGTTTGTTGACAGCAGACTGTCTCTAAGAAAGGAAGTACAATTTCACTTTGCAAAGCAACCATGTTTTGGAATCCATTCTGCACAAGATGTCTACCTGCCACTTCTGAAAGGAAAAGAGAACTACGACACAGCTGCTGTTACCAGAAGAAAAGCTTAAACCTAATAAACTTCCAAAACTCAGCGTTGTTAGTTTAACTTACTTGCCAATGTACTATAACTTGAAGAAAAGGGAGGATGTGCGTATTTATTGCTAATGCTGGGGAAATTGCCATTAAAGCAGTTGGCAGACGGCTGACATTTTAACGGTCGTAGGTCAGATCATCTTCTGCGTCTATCAAAGAGAAGATTTGACCAAGGATTGACAGAAAGGAAATCAGATGATTCTGTTGACTTGGCTGCATCTAAATGTCTCCATTTCGGCTTACAGGAAAGATTGCTATGGAAGCAGTCTTTGATGTTGCAACAGAGTGGCTGTAAATTGCTTGAAGAACTGTTGGAACTTCAAATATAAAAACACAGGAAGAGTCACTGTCTGAGGTCGAATGTGAGGAGGAGTTTTCACTTGTGATATGCTCCTCATGTAATGTTTAGGGCTCAAATTTTACATTAAGATATGTTTTCAATCACTGTTTATTCAGTTTCACATAAAGGGTTCACTTACAGGTTGTAAGGAAAATCCGTGGCAACTGAAAACTGAATTCTAGAATCTTAGTCTCCAACGTTTCTAACGCTATTAGAAACAAGTGCAAAATTTTCTTTGTTCTCTCAAAGGCAAAATAAAGAATGTATAGTAGGCTTGAAAGTTAGAGATCATAAAGCACTTTTTATGGTTTCCAAAAAGTTCACATTCTTTTCACACTCTTAAGCTTTTTTATTATTAATTTAGTTATTTAAATCAGCCCATTTCTGATAAACCAATTAATATTAATCCTGAGATTAACATTTCTTTTATTATGAATTTAGCTGTATAAATCAGTCTTTTGCCACCAAACATAAATTTATATTAGTTCTAGGATCAACATTTTGAGAAGGGATAAAATAGGGATCGTCTGAGCATTTTTAAAAGAATGTTGGTCAAAAATAGCCAGTAGAATAAAAATACATTGTGCAAGCTAAAATAGGGCAAAAGAGCTAAAATGCAGCCCATGGACTAAAATAACTGGCAGTTCAAATGAGTCCAAGGGCTAAATATGTGAATATCTTCCAATTACCTTATATGTAGAGAGTTTTTATTTTTTAAATTGCACATTTCACTTCTTTTGTTGTTGTTTTCAAAAATACTATAAGAGCCATTGAGTCTAACAGACTAAAAGGTCGGAGTTTGTTAACTTCAACATTTTAACCTACAGGTTGACATTTTTAGGCTAGAAATGGCTAGGTAGAAATGGCTATTTATTGATTGGTAGGGAGTTTATCTAGTAGACATTTAATGTTCACTCATTTTATGTGTGATTCTTGCACAGCCTCCAGGGGTTTAGCAGTGGTGCACACTGGGGAAGTTTCTAGGAGACCTGAGATCAGTGTTAGTGCTTATTTGTGCCAGAGACACTGACCTTGTTGCTGTTTCTTGAACATCCAGGTGGACTCCTGCATCAAGCCTTTTTATGCTTGTTTTCTTTACCTGAGATATTTCCACCCATGTTTCATATGGTTTACTTTCTCACCTCTTTCACATCTTTGATCAGTTGTTATCTTGTCAGATGCCTCTATGAAGAAGCTAAATCCCTACCATCTAAGACTTTTGAGCCAAGGAGAAACGTAATCTGATGAACAATGAAAGGATCTCTCTTCCTGTGGTGATGGGAATCAGTTGCACATGAGCAATGGCTGAAGCGTTTAGGTGTGGTTGCAGTCATCCAGGCTGGAGATAACAATGGCTCGGGTCAGATGGCTATGGAGGTGGTGGAATGTGGCCAGACTGAGGATATAAATTGACAGTAGAGTCAGCAGGATTTGCTGCCACTTGGTATGTGGAAGAGAGAGAAACATAAGAGTCAAGGGTGATGCTGAAGTTTTTTGGCTTGAGAGATAGAAAGAATGAAATTGCCGTTCTCTGAAATGAGGAATGAATATCAAAGGGAAAGTACAAAATCAAGATTTGAGTTTTTGTTGTCATAGCTGGATAAATGAAACTTGAAGTAGAAAAAGATTTGAGATGGAGATAAAATATTTGAGAATCATCTCAGCATAAAGCCAGGAACCTGGATGGAGTCATCTGGGGAGTGTAAAGAAAAGAGGTCTTGGGGAGAAGCGCTGGTACACAGCAGTGGTAAGAGGTTGGGGAGACCAGAGGGAGGGCCAGTGAAATAAAAAGCTCAGATAGACTGGCTCTTGGAAATCAAGTAGAGAAGGTTCCAGGAAAAGAGTGATCAGCTATGCTGGAATGCTGCTGATAGAACAGCAAGAAGATAAAGACTGAGAAAGGACATTAGATTTGGCAATGGTGTGGTCACTGGTGACCTTCGTGAGCTGTTTTGGGAGAGGGATGTGGTGGCAGGGCTGATTTAAGAGGTTTTTGGAGATAAAAACAAAAGAGAAAATGTAGACCTCAAATATAGACTAGAGAAGATAATTTTGTATAGTAGAACAGAGAAATGAGATGGGACCTAAAGAGGGTATGAAGTCAAGAAAGACCTGTCAAATGATGTTTGCACGCTGATGGGAGTGAGTGGGTAAAGAGGGAAAAATAGAGTTTACAGAAGATGGAAATGGGGACCATTGCTGGGAACCTGTATTCTTTGATGAGTCTTCCTCCCTCTTTAGCACTGTATGCATCACTCAAGGGAGACTTTTCTGTTCTTTTCAAAATCTCACTGGGCTGGATTATGCTCTTACGTGTTAGTTGTTCCGTCGTGTCCAATTCTGCAATCCCATGGACTGTAGCCTGCCAGGCTCCTCTCTCCATGGAATTCTACAGGCAAGAATACTGGAATGGGTTGCCATTTCCTTCTCCAGGGGATCTTCCCAACCCAGGGATGGAACCCAGGTCTCCTGCATTGCTGGCAGACTCTTTACCCTCTGAGTCTGCAGGAAAGCCCCATATTTCCCTCTTGTAAGTTCCTATATAATTCTGTTTCTCCCATACATACCCCTTTCAAAGTATGACCTCTTGTACTCACACTTTACAGGGTATGTTAGTCCTCTAGCAGCTTCAGAGAACACTAAAACCACACTTTCTAATGATCTGGGACTATAACAGAAGTTTATTAGACTCTTTCACAGACCTTCTCCTGCCGTTCATCATGATGAGCTGTTTATAGATCCTTAAGTGGCTCTCAGCTGTTCTCTTAAGTGTTTGGTTGTGAGTAACCTGTGCGATTGGGGTTCCATACTGTGTCAAAGATGATTCTGAGGTTTCTGGCTTGAGAGACTGGAAGAATGGAATTAGCATTTACTGAAAAGAGGAACAAATATCAAAGGAAGAGCACAGCTGCTGAGCCCTAAGGAGTAGCATCATTTCTTACTACTGGCATTCCTGGTGGCATGATGACTTCTGGGACCCCAGCGTTGATTCTGGCTATTTGGTTCTCTGTTTTCTGCCTTTTCTGTCATGGGATTAGGCTTGTGGGGTTGAAGAAGTACTCTGTCCTTAGCCAGAGATTGATGTTAGTTAAAAAATGTTGCATGCAGTGAAACAAACAACACACAACTATGTGGATGGTAGCTATCATTTTTATCTTTTGCGCTCAAGGTTTATATTTCTGTTTGCATTTTCAAGGTTTTAGGTCACAGTTAGGGCCAGGACCTTGAAGCCAGTCACTTGGGTGTTTGTAGAAAGGAGTGGTGACTCTTGTGAAATCTTATATAAGAGGTGTGCATACATCCTTAAGTGTGTTCATCCACCCATCCATAAAAAATATTTATAAATGCTTGCTATATTTAAAGATGTGTTAGGGAGTTTGTTTTGTCAGGAGGGAAGAGGTAGAGATTCAGGGAGCTCTTTAATGGTCATAATATGAAAAAGGCAGAGACCACTCTGCTCATCCCGAGAGTTCTTTGTTCAAACAACACATCGTAAGAAAACCCATGGTATCATAAGGAAATCCCAAGCTGCACTGCAGGCTTTGCTGCCAGAGAGGCTGAAAGATCTAGAACCTTACTAGCTCACACCCCTCTTTGTTGCCTTTGCAGAAGTTTCTTAGAACCCTGAGGTGTCTGCATAGCACAGGTGGAGAAACCCCTCCTTCTAGACCATGACAGAGTTCTTTTTCTTTTTATGTCATTCCTTAGTCTTTCCCATCATAAAAAATACAATAAATTATGATGATTTGCCATTGTAAATTGAGAGGGAAACTTTTTTCTTTTACATGAGTTTTCTGTTTCAGAAAAAAAGAAGTTCTTATTTAACTTGGTTAAATGTTTTAAATCACAAAACCTCTGTACATCTTTCCTATAGAGACTAGTTCATAGAATTGCTGAAAAATTTTAGTTGATGATAATGATATTAACAGATCATCAGGAGTTTAGAGTCTTATTTGGGATACCTGCTGATATACTCCTTTATATATGTGGATAGAAGTTTGACCTTTGTTCTTACTTCCAGATTTAGTATAAAGGATGGTGATTTATATCAATAGCCCATGGGTTATAAATATTAGTGAAATGATCTGAATGCTTTAGTAAAATCAGATGAATTGAATGGGCAGGTCTGTGCCTATTGTTTGGATTAAAAAAAATCACACATTCATGTATTCTTTTCATACTGTTAAAAAACAGAAAGGTAATATTACTGCATTATAATTCTAGTGCACATTTAAAATGCAAATTAAAGATTCTAATTGTATTTTTTAGTAACTAATAATTTAATAATGCTTTTTGATCCTCCCCTACTTTTCCAACTTTCTTTTCTTGCTTGATGTTAGGAAACCCAAATTGAAGATGCCTACAGTTCAAATAGGTTGAACTTGTGGCCTTGGCTGTAATTGTCACTTCATAATCTATTTTTTATTTTAATCTTATTATTAAACCTTTTTTATTTCTTACAGACTGGTGAATTTTCAGCTCGTTTCCTTTTGAAGTTGCCAGTGGATTTCAGCAATATTCCCACGTACCTGCTCAAGGTAAAAATTTATGATTATCACTATGAGAATGCAGTTAAACTTTTAAAGTCATTATTTAACTTTTGATATTTGTATAGTTTGCCAGCATTTTGTTTAGGTGATGAATTCTATTAAAAATGTTATTACATGACGATCCAGTGAGTTAGTTACCTAAGAGCTAAAATCGTAGCCCTAAAAATAATTTCAAAATGGACTTTCCTTATAAGATGAAATTAGTATAAACAAATTAAACCTTGGGAAAAAGACTGCCTTTGGTTAATGATCTTTTGGGGATGAGAGACTCTCTTAAAAATTACCTTAATATTCATTTTGTCTTTAAATAGGATTGCATGTTAACTATTTTGTACTACAGGGCATTTCATTTTCTTTATTTATGTTAGCACTTGATCTCAGGCATCTTCAAAGTTGGACTGCCCTGGAGAGATCCAGAATTGAATTAGGCCAATGTATATGGTACTTTAAAATACAATGAGGGCAGGGGGTGGCTTGGGAGCCACTACTTTGGGAAGGGGTCTGCAAAATGCTTTGTAGAAGAGAGGTGGAACCCAAATCCACATCAGGCTGTGATTGTTGTTTAGTAGCTCAGTCGTGTCTGACTCTTTGCGACACCATGAACTGTAGCCCACCAGACTACTCTGTCCATGGGATTCTCCAGGCAAGAATACTGGGGTGGGTTGCCATTTCTTTCTCCAGGGGATCTTCCCAACCCAAGCATCCAACTTGGGTCTCCTGCACTAGCAGGTGGATTCTTTACCACTGAGCCAGCAGGGAAGTCAGGTGAAAAGAAACTAAATGGACCAGTGAACTGGCAAGTTCTGAACAGGAACCCTTGAGACAGGGGCTTAAGTTTATTGTGGATGTGGTTTTGGGTATGACCTCAGCCATATTTAGCCTGTGGTGATATAACTTTGCTGTAATGTAAGAAAAACTTCTGCCTTCCAAATTTGATGTTATTCAGAGAGTTAATCGTACTTATTACAGTCTAGAGAGAAGACAAAATCCTCGTGCAAGTATTCCTTTGTATTATTGTAGTCATAAATAACATGAGATTATTCTTGATAGTGATTGGAATTAAAGTATAGTCTGACAGAATGTAAACTGTAGACCATAGGAAAGATTAGGACTTTTTTTTTTTTAGCATTCTACCCATGGGATTTATTACCTTTTTTCCCCCCTAAGTAAAACATGGGATTTTTGTGCCTCATTAAACTTTCATTTTTAATTTCTAGTTGACTGTTTTCCCACTCTGTATCCAAGAGTTGTGAAATCCAAGTGAGAATGAAAGTTAGCAATTTATATTAGTTTCTCAATACTCCTGTTGTGGAAAATATACATATTAGACCTGTAATTACCAAGCATAATTAATTTGGTTTCAACAGTTACTGTGCTCTATTAGAATAACAAAGTCTCCTTGGAGACTGTTACATAACAGACTCACTGACTTCCATATGTTCGGTTAAAACTCTATTTCTGCTCATTTAAAACAAAATTTAATAGTATATGAGAGGATTATTATTCACATAGTCACTTTAATCCATAATTTATAGTTACAGTGTCTTTGTTTTGATCTGTTGGGCCTTATCAGTTTGAATGGTTATCCTGTTTATTTGAACTTAGTGTTGCCTCTGTTCATGTTCTTGAAGGCCAAAGGCAAAAAAAAAAAAACCACTTCTTGGATCATAATCTATGTAATTTTTTTCCCTCTTCAAAATTAAATTTCTGTATTTTCTGTTCTAAGAATTCTATCTTTATATTGTTATGCCCTTACTTTCCTTGCCAGTCAGATAGGAAAAAGGTAGGACCTATTTGGCAAAATTGGAAAGTGTTTTTTTTTTCCTCTCCCAAAGTACAATGAAGTACTTTTTCTACTCTTAAGTAAACGCCTATCTTGCAACACTAATGTCTTTCTGGATCTTTTAGTTCCTGCAAAGAGAGTAAAACAACAGGACAAAAAATATCAGTGTAGGCAGGTTCATGTTTTGCCATACCCTCTCCAGCGTTTATTATTTGTAGACTTTTTGATGATGGCCATTCTGATTGTTATGAGGTGATACCTTACTGTAGTTTTGACTTGCATTTCCCTAATAGTTAGCAGCGTTGAGCATCTTGTCATGTACCTGTTGGCCATCTGTATGTATTCTTTGGAGAAATGTCTGTTTAGATCTTCTGCCCCTTCTATTTAGGTCTTTTTTATTTTATTTTTTTATTGAGTTGTATGAGCTATTTGTATGTTTTGTTTTTGTTTTTGTTTTTGTTTTGATATTGGGTTATATGAGCTGTTTGTATATTTTGGATATTAACCCCTTATTGGTTATATCATTTGAAAATATTTTCTCCCATTTAGTCGATTACCTTTTCATTTTGTCAGTGGTTTCCTTTGCTGTACATAAGCTTTTAAATTGAATTAGGTCCTGTTGATTTATTTTTCCTTTTGTTTTCTTCACCTTAGGAGACAGGTCCAAAAAATATTGCTGTGATTTATATTAAAGAGTGTTCTGCATATGTTTTCTTGTAGGATTTTTATGATTTCAGAGCTTACATTTAGGTCTTTAATTCATTTTGAGTTTATATTTGTATATGTGAGAAAATGTTCATATTTCATTCTTTTACAAGTAGCTGTCCAATTTTCCAAGCACAGTTTGTTAAAGAGACTGTCTTTTCTTCATTGTATATTCTTGCCTCTTTTGTCATAGATTAATTGACCATAAGTATGTGGGTTTATTTCTGGACTTTGTTCTGTTCCATTGATCTATGCGTCTGTTTTTGTGTCAGTACCATACTGTTTTGATTACTGTAGATTTGTAGTGTAGTCTGAAGTCAGGGCATGTGATCCCTCCAGCTTTGTCCCTCAAGATTGTTTTGGCTATTTGAGGTCTTTTGTGTTTTCATACAAATTTTAGAATTCTTTGTTCTAGTTATGTGGGAAAATGCCATTGATATTTTGGTGGGGGTTGTAGTGAATCTGTAGGTTGCCTTGTGTTGTATGATCAAGAATTTATGATATTAATTCTTCCAGTGTATGAACATTTTGTATCTTTCCAACTGTTGTGTCATCTTCAGTGTCTTTCATCAGTGACTTATAGTTTTCTGAATAAAGGTGTTTTACTTCCTTAGGTAAGTTTATACTGAGTTATCTTATTTTTTTTGATGTGATTATAAATGCAATTGTTTTCTTAATTTCTTTTTCTGGTAGTTCTTTGTTAGTGTGTAGAAATGCAATGGATTTCTGTATATGAATTTTGTGTTCTGCATCTTTAGTGAATTCATTGATGAGCTCTAGTAATCTTTTTCTGGCATCTTTAGGATTTTTTATGTATATTATCATGTCATCTGCAAACAGTGACAGTTTTACTTCTTCCCAATTTGGATTCCTTTTATTTCTTTTTCTTAGCCGATTGCTATGACTAGGACTTCCAGTACTGTGTTGAATAAAGTTGGTAAGAGTGGAATGCTATCATTCCTTTATATAGTAGGGGGAAAGAGGTAATAGCATGATCATTTAAAAAATGTGTGTATGACAGTCACATTTTGTGACTTTTCATCAAAGACTGAATTTTAGTAAATTTGCGTTTTAAAATTCCTCACTCTTCTTACCTTCCCTTAGGAAGAGGGGAGGATTTTGCATTCTGTGCAGCCAAAAAAAGAGAATTAGGCTGATTAATCTCCCTCGATTTTTTTTTTTTGGATGGATGAATACTTGCTTTGTTCTTTATTATGCAGAATTGTTTGAAAGTCCATATAGTTTTACATATTTGCTAGGAAGGAAACTGATAACTTCCCCTAAATAGTTTCTTTTTAAAAATATAGCAAGCTTTTAGGGTGATATATAATATATTGATTATAGTTGTTTCTCAGAAAGCTTAAAATAGCAAATATTAAAAAGTCCCCTGATCCTGGTAAATGAATGTAAATTCAATGAATTTTTATTTAGTGAAAATAAATTTTATCCTTATAAAATTTTTTCTCTGAACCATCCATTAGATGATGCTTCAAAGTTTGAAACATTTTAGTTTATGAAATTTTTTGGATCCAATAAAGTCACACTTAATCAGCTTTTATAAATAAAGACTGCTTTAACTCACTCCTGTGAAATCTGGTCTTAAAACAGTTGTCTGGTGCTTGAAAGATCATAAAGAATTCACAGGAAACCCTCATCTTATCTGAAAGGAAATAGTTTCTGTCTAATCAAATAGGAGTAGGCATACTTTTATAAAAGTAGGAATGTGTACCTGGAAGGAAGTACCATAAAAGTAGGGTGCTGTTTATTCCAGTAATAAGTCTGATTTATCATTGCTAAAATTGAGCCAAATTTGCATTTGAGACTTAATCATGTGGAAAGTAGTGAGATGGTCTCGAAATAGCTGGCAGGATATTTCCCCTTATTCCTTCATTAAGTAGGAGACAAATGACTGCTTTTAGTTCATTGTCCTTGTCCCACCTCCCTTCTGTAGAGAATCAGGGCTTAGAGAAAAGCATACTGTAGATCAGGGGCTCTAGATGTCTGCACTATAGAGGGCACGATAGTAGAATTTTAGGCTTGGGGGCCCTGTGGTCTCTATCACCACTACTTGACTCTGTTGTCACAGCATGAAAGCAGCTATGACAGTATCTAAATGAATGATAATGTCTGGGTCCCAATAAAACTTTATAAAAAACCAGACATTAGATTGGCTTTAGACTGTGGGCAGTTGTTTGCCAGTCCCCTTTCCTAAATTATAGGAAGGAAAGTGGGAGAAATACTGTTTCACAGTATCATCATAGAAAGATGAGAAGAAAAAGATTTGGTTCACAGAGTTCAAGTTGTTTTTTAGTACTGTGGTCTGTTTGTTTTTATTTAACTAGTACCTTGAACTTGGTTGTAGTCTCCCTCCCTCTTTTCTTCTTCCTCTCTTCCTTTCCTTCCTTATTTTCTTCCTTCCTTTATTCCACCTTCTCTCTTACATTTAAACAGTCTGTTAGCAGCATATAATTTACTAAGTTCTCTTCCAAGTCTTAGATCC